TAGCATGGCCCCTGCGCAAGGATGACACGCACACATCAAGAAGTGTATACAATTCCTCATATTGCGGAGAAACATCCTGAGGTGGAGGAGGATGACGACGATGGTGGTGAAGGTGATGGCGATGGTGATGCGGAGGAGGATGGGGAAAACAGGAGGACAAAAGCCAGGGCAGGAGGATGAGCAGGGAGGATGTAGAGGGAGGGAAGATGAGGAGGACTTGGCAGAAGGAGGAGCAAGGAAGGGAAGGATGAGAGAAGGGAGGGAGGGAGGAAAGATTAGGGAGATTCATGTCGGGGCTTCAAGGCGGGCTCCTTGTCGCCACGTTCAGACCCGCCTCGAGATCCTGGCCAGAACGCGCTTCAAGAGGTCAGGGGGGACGATTTTAAGGAGAGGGGGAGGTAGGAGGTGGGCGGGAAGAGAGAGAGAGAGAGAGAGAGGGAGAGAGAGAAAGGGAGGGAAGGAGGGAGGGCGGAGGGAGGCTGGAGGGGGAAGGGGGCTCAAACCTCTGGGACTGCTTTTCATCCCGAGTCTTTCTTCTGGCGCTTCTGTGGCCCAGGCAACCTGAGGCCGAGAGTGGCCAAGCCTCGCGCGCGATAGCTTTCCAAGTCGCCAAGGATGTCTGGGGCCCAGGTAGGCTTCCCGAGGTCCGAAGAGGGCTCCAAACGTCCAGATGCTTCGATCTTCGGTTCTCAAGTTCACTCGCTTACAGGCATCGACATGGACAACGAGGCTGATCATTTTGCTTCGAGCGGTCCTCATCCAAGAACGCGAGGGGGGATCCCCGGGGGGCACCCGCACCCTTCGGGCCTGGCTGCTTCGGCATCATGCAGTCTCAATTCGTCGATGGCGCGAGGCGGGATACCAGGGAGCACTGGCACACTTTGGGCCCGGCGGCCGCGGAGTGCAGAGTGTGCGAGGCGGGTCGGAGCTCGGCGCCCTGGCACGGAGGGGCCACCGACCCGTCTTGAGAGACGCCTAGCTGACACGATCCACGGCCCCAAGAGTGCATACTTTCACGCAGGCTGCCCCACAACATCGAAGAGAGCCAACCCCGCTTGCCGAATCTGGCGGGCGCCGAAGGTGCTCTGTGAGCACCTCCTGCGCGCCCGAGGCCCGTGACCTGGGCCCGTCCTCCCCGACCCCCGACGCCGTGATTCTTTTGCGACGGGACCCTAAAAAATCAGGAGGGAAAAAACACACAGACACAATTAATCGTCGATTCCCAAGAAAATATTGGAAAATATGGGAAGTGGGTGGGAAGACAACAGCCCGGAAAATATGGGGAAATATGGGGAATCTTTTTATTTGTGTGTATTTATTTGTGTGTCCTGGGGCCCCTTCAAAAAAGTCTGGACCCCTTTCCAGGGACCGTTTTTTCGCCCAGAGCTGTTGTTTGAGGGTCCCGAGGCCCGGGAAGGGCCCTCAGAAACCGAACATGGCGGAAGACCTCCCGTCGTGATCTTGTCATTGCTCGAGGGGGTTTGGGCTCGTCCTCGGCGGAGCCCCCGTGCAGTCGGCGTCACCCCAACATACTCTTACCATATGTGCGTCGCCCCCCCAGGGGCGACGCGCACGCCGAGGAGTCTTCTGTAGTATGAGCTCCGCGCTGGGCCCTTTCTGGCCGCACCGCTCGGGAAACTATACAGCACGAGATGGTTATACTATATGTCTGGTTTGGACGCACGCCTCCAAGGCGGACATACACCTTAGGCGATGCTTAAGAAAGCTTAAATTTTCGGCCAGAGTCTCGATTATTCTTAATGTTTCAAGGTAAGTCCTAAGGTTTGAATGGAATTTTTGGGTTTTTATTCAAGTTCTGAGACTATGAGTTTCTTAACCCATGATTTCTTAAGCATTTCGCAGGGTGTATAGTACTAGCATGTCTCTGTGCGTCCCGTGCAGCGCTCGGCGTCTCGGCGCGGCCGCGCTCTCGCGGCCCCCCTGCCGCCTGGCCAGCTGCCCGCGCCTCCCAGGCGACGCTCCGGCTCGGGGGCCTTCGGCGGCCCTCGGCCGCCTTCGGCGGCCTTCGCCGGGCCGGGCGGCGGCGTGGAGGCACTCTTCGTCGTCGTCGTCGTCGTCGTCGTCGTCGTCGTCGTCGTCGATGTCGTCGGCGTAGTCGGCGTCGGCGTCGGCGTCGACGTCGGTGTCGGTGTGGGCTTCGGCGTCGGCGTCGGCGTCGGCGTCGGCGTCGGCGTCGGCGTCGGCGTCGGCGTCGTCGCCGTCCTCGTCGTCGTCGTCGTCGCCGTTGTCGTCGAGGTCGAGCTCGTCACCGAGGTCAGGTATCGTTTGAACACTCGTGAATCGATAAGTGCCGTTCCTCTCTGTTGGGTAGAGTGTTCCCCGAACATAGGTGGATTTGTCAGTGTGTTGTTACTTGCGCGCGCCATTTGCATGATGGTGCAAGATGGTGCTCGGTGAATGCTGGAACGTATCCACGGGCATATGAATCACCGTCGAGGCCCCAGTGTGAGCAGAGCCAGAGGCCAAGCCCCGCCGAAAGGACTTTAAGACGCTGGCCGCCATCCGGGAGAAGCTCGCGCGCGACGCGTCGGTCGCACACCGCCTCTGCCGCGAGACGGGCGACGAGGTCTTGTTGGTCGCGAGGAGGAGGAGGATGAAGGAGGAAGGGGAGGATGCCTTCCTTGATGTCGGAAACATTTTTAATTGGTTTCTGCCTTTGGGGGGCCGCCAGAAGAAGCCTCTGGAGGCCTCTGGGGCCTCCTGAGAGACTGCGGGGACATCTGGAGACCTGTGGAGCGATAGGAGGTTGGGGAGGGAGGAAGGGAGGGAGGAGGCAAGGATGATGAGAGTGCGTGCGCAGTAATGATGTCAGAGGGGCCATTCAGTGAGACGAGTAGGGGGAAGGTAGTTGATGAGGTCCCCCCCCTCGTAGAGCGAAGCTTGAGTGAGCTCAAGCCCGCGCTCTCAGAAACTCACACGCCGGATCGGCGGATTTATGTGATTGTGAATATGGTGGCGTTCTTTATTTTGGGCTCACGATAGACAGGAAACGCTAAAACAAAGTATAAGTTGCTTTGCTTTCTTGCCTTTGTGATAGTAGCTCCCGTCGGTGTGGCAACTCGTGTTCTGTGGCACGCGTGGTCTTGGTTCTCGGTCTAAATGCGCAGAGCTAAGTTCGTAATGAACACGTCGTGTCACCGGCAGACACCGGCGCAATACAGGCCCAGAGGCCCATTGGCCCCAAACCTTGCAAACGTTCGAACCGAAAACGTTGAAACAATTGATTTGGAAGCCAAAAATAACGATTAGTTCTTCAGTGCCTTTCATTTGTTATCGCTATAAATATGTCCAACACGCCTAGTTGACAATGGTAAAGAAAGCGCCCAGGGAATCTTTACGGCTATACAAGGTTACTTACATCGTTACTGTTGAGATTGCCGCTACTGCAGACTGCAGCCGCGATCACGACTGCGACCGTTACAGTGGCGGCTACGACCACTGATCTTGTTATTGCTGCGTGCTGCCTCTGTACGGCTATCGCGACGGCTATTGCTATTGCTACCTCCTTTTCCATTTCTTCCCCCCTCATCCATACTCGGCCTTTCTCCTTTTGCTGCTGCTGCTGTTCCTTCTTGGCCCTCCTCCCCATTGTGCCTTTCGTCCCGTCCTCTGCCTTTCTTCGCTTTTCCTCATACTGCTTCTCCTCTTCCCTCCTCCTGCACCAGCGTGCTTCCCCTTCGCCATTTAGGTTGCAATGAAGGCGCTGGAGGAGCTCGACCTCCGGAAGAAATACCAGGAGATCAGCCAGAAGCAAAAGGAGTTTTGTACCATGTATGAGGCGGATATGTTCGCGCTCTCGAGCCCTTCCTCCTCGTCCTCCTCCCCCTCCTTCCTGTCGCCCATCGCTCCTCAGCCCTCCTCCTGCTCCTTCACCGCCTCGTCCTCCCTATTCCTTCTCTTCCTTACCCTCTGTTCCCTCGTCTTCCTCCTCTCTCTGCCCCTCCGCCCTTCCCACCTCACTTCTGTATACTTATCATCGTCGTACTCCCTCTCTTTGATCCGTGTTCCCTCCTCTGCTTCTCCCCCTCCCTCCCTCCCTCCTCCTTCCTTCCCAGCTCGGCGCTGAGATGCTTGACGCGTCCTCCTGCCGAGTCGATCCGATCCTTCCCAGCTGCCGTCCCGGCTCGAGGTTTTGGGGGGCAGGTCAAGCGCATGCGAAACCTCACGGGACTGCCGCTGAACGCTCCGAACCGCATCTCGCCGCGTCAGGCCGGCCATGCCCCCAGTCAGGGTCAGTCGACCGCTGCGTGGGTGTCCATGGTGGCAGCATGGAGGAGGGGACGGAGGCCGCGCTCAGGGCGCTCGCGGGAGGACCCGCTCCGGCATCCCCTCACGACCGTCGGGGAGCAGCACAGGAGGCTCCGCCACTTCCCCGACCAGCCACATCAGAGGAGGCAGAGAAACGTCGTCTACGACAGTTTCTGCTTCCCAAATGCTAGAAGGAGCCCAAGTCGCACCTCGAGCAGCTGAAGATCAGTCTGGACGCGTTGCGGAAATATATTTTTAGTGCATTGGCCATCGTTCGACAAGGATCCATGGGCTAGGGACCGAATGCGCCACCACCCTCTACATGGTCATGTATGCGAGGGCCCCAGGATTCGCACGCAACAGCAGTTGTCATGCGTCGACTGCATCCGCAATCGCTTCAGTGAGGCCCAGAAAGCAGAATATGAGGCGCACGCAGCGCATCAGCAACCAGTTGCTCACGCCAAGGCCCTTTTCGAGGACGTCCAAAAGGCGGAGGACCTCTTGTCCCGCCCCGAGGAGATTGAATAGGATGGCGAGGGCGAGCCATATGATGAGGATTTTCAGACGGAAGAAGATCGCCCGGCAGAGTCTGCAAGAAATGCGACGGCGGCAAACGGGGCTGTGGCAGAGCCCACGTCAAACCAGCCAGCAGTTGCTTGCCTAGCCGCCAGTCAAGTCACAAGCGCGAATCTTGCCTAACAGGTTACCAACCTCGCCCAGCAGATGCTCCTCACCCAGAAACAGATGGCGCAGGCCACGGCTCGTGCCCAGCAGCCAGGCAACGGCGAGCAACCGTCAGCGGCTCCCATGGCCGGCGCCCAGGCCCCCCCAGCAGCAGCAGGAGGCGCCGCTCCCGCCGCCGCCTCTTGCCCAGCTGCCTGGCCCTGGCCCCCAGGCAGCACGGTCGCGGCTGCCGCGGTAGAGCCTCCGCAACCGCAGCAGGCGCCGCCTCCGCGAGCGCGCGCTCGCCGGCCGGCCAACGCCGCGGCCGCCAGGGGAGGATCCGCCAAGGACCGCAAGCCTTTCAAACATGCCGGCCCCGAAGGCGGTGGCAGAGATGGCAGACGCTTGCTTCGAAACGTCCAGGCGCTCGTTCCAGAAATCCAACCCCATGGGCGGCGACGCCGGGGGCTCCGAAGCCGCGGAATCCATGGGCCCCAACGCCACCAGTCCGCGCGAGGTGTGCCCAGCGGCAGATGACGAATTCTGACGAATTCTTTGCTTCAGTGCTGATATGGGACTTCGTCCTTCGCCCTGGGAAATCTAAACAGATGAGCGCCAGTGTCCTACCCCTCACTGTGTCCGTAGGACGTCCGAGGTCTCGCCTCTAGACCCTTGCCTCCGCTGGGCGCGCCAAGGAGCTCCTCGTAGGCCGCTGGGGTCTCCCCGTCTGCCCGGACATCTTGCGTGTTGCAGGTTTTTGACATTCGGCCACATTCGCAGGCCAGCAGGTCTTCTTCAATTCAGCCCAGGCGCCACGCCCGATCGGATAGATATCTATCCCGACGGCTCAGGAGAAGGTTACAATGACCAGTCTTGGCTTTCGTTGCTCTGGCATCGCCGCCAGGACAAAGACGGTTCATGGGCTTTCCAGGTGGCCAGTGGCCGACAGTTATATTTCGGATCAGTTTGTTCTTCTTCTTCTTCAGCAGTCGCAGAGTTTGAAGTTGCCATCTGGGCAGCCGCCTGGCTACGACGTTCGCTTCGCCAGCTCCCCCCCAATTCCGACAACGTGCTGGTCGTTATGGTGGGCCTCGCTTGGAGCCTTGCGCGGTGACCTACATTGGACGGGCTCGTGCAGGTGCTCGCAAGGGCGTCTCGGTAATGTTATGGGTCCGCGCGCCTGGCCGCAGCGGCCGCCCATGGAATGAGATGGCAGATGGAGTCGCTCGATTGGTTGCCATGTCCCCCCCCCCCCACTCCCGATGTCCATGGGCGAGCGGTTCTCGACCTGCCATGGCGCCACCAGGCTGTGCGAAGGCGGTTGCTTGAGTTCGCTGCAGACGAGCAGCGGGCGCAGTGCCCGTCCGCGCGTGGTCTTGCTTTTCAGCCGGGCCCGCGAGCGCAGGTTTCCTGACTGGTCAGGCCACCCCAGCTCTGTGGGGTGCCGGGCCCAGGTCCGGCTCAGACGAGCGTGGGCGACGGGCGTGCGAGACGTGGTGGCCAGCAAGATGGAGAGGCCACCCCCGCCGCTCAGGGCGCCTGGGCATTTTCTGGAGCGCCGCGGGCCACGACGGCCCGCGTGGCGCAGGTGGGCATCGGGAGTATATTGCCGCTGAGGCCTTTCGGGCGGCGCCGCCGACGCAGTGTGCGGGGTGGGGTGGGGGGCCTGAATCGGGTGGGCGAGGAGGGGGGGGCGCTTCTGTCATGCGGCTTCGTGGGGGCTTCTATGGGCTTTTTGGGGGGGCTCCTTGCCCGATGTGCCGAGGCTCCCTTCGAGCCCCTTGTCCGGGCGCGCTCTGGGGGCCGTCTTGGGGGCCTCTCGGGCCGTCTTGGAGATCTTGGGCTGTCCGGGGGCCTTCTTGGGTCGTTTCGGGTTCTCCGTGGAGGCTGCCTGGGATGCCTTGCGGCGATTTTGAAGGCCTCTTGAGCGCTCTTAGAGCGTCGGGGAGCCGAGAAGGCGAGGGCGCCGCGTCATTCGCACGCGTCAGGATTTTTTTTCTTATTTTTTTTTTTGGGGGGGGGTGGTGGTGGTACGTCTTGGGGCCTCTTCGGGGAGTGCTCTCGGGGGCCTCTCGGAGTGTCTTGGAAGCGTCTTGGCCGTCTGGAGGACATTTTTGGCGTCTTGGGCGGATGGCTCGGCGACTCGGGGCCCTCTTGGATCGCGTTCGATGCCTCTAGGGGTAGCGCTCTTTGTTTCGTTTCTTTTCCTCGGGCTTGTTTTTCCATGGCTTCTTTCTTGGGCTCCCCCGCGATGGGTGGCATTCTCATCGGCCCCCCCCCCCGGGCCCTCCCCGGGCCCCTCTGGGCCCCCCTTGACCCCCCGCCCGCGGGGAAGAGATCGATGGGAAAAGGAGGATGATTCCCTCGGACTCAACTGCGACGTTGCTCAATTCCGCCGTGGCTGGCGCGCCGCGAGGAGGGGGGCCTGGGGGGGGGGGCGATGGCGACGACGACGGCGACGAACGGAAAAACGTTTTCCACGCGCCGACAGGGTCGGCGTAGCACAGTGCATGGTCTTGTTGCTGTCCGAGCATGCTCGGGCAGGCACCCGCAGCTGGATAGAGCATCCAGTTCCAGCAGTTTGGAGACAAAAGGCAGTTTCCATTTTTCTTGGGCCCCGCTCCGTGCTCTTGAATGGTGCCCAGTACTCAGTGCCATTGATTTTGATCATTGTACCTAGCGCGATGTTGACCCAGCTACTATAGGTCTGGCACCGACGAGATTTTTGACGTTCAGGTTACCAATCATGCACGCGCAACTTACTGCTTGTAGTCGGGGTGAGTGTCTCCATCATAAGGGCAGTCGCAAGACCCTCTCGGGTAAAATGGCGACTCCAGCATCCAAATTCGTGCTGTGACATCTGTCGCGCGCGTAATCATGTGTGTTGCTATCGCTATGGCCATGGTGGATGCGAGTGTGAAGGCTACGTGTAAGTGGGAATCTAGGGGCCCAGGAACTCGTTTCTTTATTGCTTGGGGAATGACGGGCGACATGGCCCCCCGCTCCCCCCCTGATGACGTAACGCTCCCCCCAGTGCGCTCCGGGCAATGCCGCCGTGCGCATTGGTATACGCGTAGGGTTCCGCGTTGGAATCCGCATAAGGGGTCCGGTCCGCAGTCGTCGTCGTCGTCGTCGTCGTCGTCGTCGTCGTCGTTGTCGTCGTCGCTCGTGGCTTGTGGCTCGTCGTTCGTCGCCCATCGTCGTCGTGCGCGCGGACGCGGTTGACCTTGTTTTTTATTCCGGGCCTATGACGGCGATCATCTGGGGGGGGTCGATGACGTCACGTTTCGCGCCGCCGCCGTCTGGGAATGCTTAGGAATGGCGGGCGACGGGTAGCGCCAGCGTGTAGGTGACGATCCGCACCGCAACGCCTGTGTACACCAGAGTGCCTGCGTGCACGACAGCGCCTGTGTACACCGCGCCGCCTATGTACACCACAGCAGCCGCGTGCAGCACACCGTCAGTTCGTGTCACCGTGCCTGCGGGCACAACAGCTCTAATGTACACCACAGCGCCTGCGTGCACCACATCAGCCGTGTGCAACACAGCACCAGTGTGCACCGCAATGCCTGCGTGCATTGCAGTGCCCGTGTGCACCGTGGCGCTTGTGTGCACCACAGCAGCCGTGTGCAACACAGCGCCACTATTGTGTATAGAATGTTAGTAGGAATTGTTATGACAAAATGGAGCGCTTGTGGATTCCACAGAAAACAAGATAATTGCAAATTTACGGACAAAGGAACGCCGTTGGAATCTACGAGTCCTCCCGACTCCGCCCGCACCACCCTAACTCCTCCCATCTGCGTCCAGGAGGCTCCGGCTAAATTGGCCGTCCGAGAACCAAGTGGACCGATTCAAAGACCATTC